TTTTGTATTTTTAGTAGAGACGGGGTTTCACCATGTTGACCAGGATGGTCTCGATCTCTTGACCTCGTGATCCACCCGCCTCGGCCTCCCAAAGTGCTGGGATTACAGGCGTGAGCCACGGCGCCCGGCCCCGGTTCCTATTTCTTGATAAAATTTGTATTTAAAATGTATATTCTTCTTTTCAATCTGATGGATTCTCTTTTTTCACAGAGACAAGGCCCCAGGAACTTTGAACAAATTTCTGAGCCCTAAATCAGTATATTGTAATAATAGTTAAATATTTTATAGTTTTTTTTTAAACTCTCTATCAAGAGGGAACAAATGATTTCTTTCTAATGGTGCTCACAGTCTGCATTCCCCTGGAGGAAGTCTACTAAGAACTGAGCTTCTCTTCTTGTTTAGAAAACCTTGCCAGGGTTTCTTTATCCTCTCTGGGTTTGTCCCTTAACAGATTCAGCAGTCCATTTCTGAAGCCTGTGTCAGAAAGGCAGGCCCCAGGGTACAAGGATGTGGTAAAAAGGTCAGTAAAAAAGGGGTCAAGAAAGTTTGGTTGCTTTTATATCTGCCTTTTCATTTTTTATTTCCCATCTGTTATTTTTATTACTTATAAACTCAAGATATGTTTCATAGCCAAATAAGTTTATCGAGTTATGATGAGCTCAGTATTATATCTTCATTTGAGAAGGAATGCAGAGAACAACAGGATGATATAGACTTTTTATTTATTTTGTAATATGACTTTTAAGTCATATGATCCATTCATTACATATCTATCTCTATTTATCTATGTGTGTGTATATATATATATATATATATATATTTTTTTTTTTTTTTTTTTTTTTTTTTTTTTTTTTTTTTTTTTTTTTTTTTTTTTTGAGGTGGAGTTTCGCTCTTGTTGCCCAGGCTGGAGTGCAATGGTGCGATCTCTGCCCATTGCAACCTCTGCCTCCTGGGTTCAAGCAATTCTTTTGCCTAAGCCTCCCGATTAGCTGGGATTACAGGCATGCGCCACCATACCCAATTAATTTTGTATTTTTAGTAGCGATGGGGTTTCTCCATTTTGGTTAGGCTGGTCTCCAACTCTAGACCTCTACCCACCATGGCCTCCCAAAGTGCTGGGATTACAGGTATGAGCCACTGCCATGCCCAGCCTTTTTTATTTTATTTTGACAGAGTCTCACTCTGTGAGGCTGGAGTGCAGTGGTACAATCTTGGCTCACTGCAACATCTGCTTCCCAGGCTGAAGTGATTCTCCAGCCTCAGCCTCCCAAGTAGCTAAGACTACAAGCAAGAGCCACCACGTCTGGCTAATATTTGTATTTTTTGTAGAAACAGAGTTTTGCCATGTTGCCCAGGCTGGTCTTGAACTCCTGAGCTCAAGAAATCTACCTGCATAGGCCTTCCGAAGTGCTGGGATTACAGGCATGAGCCTTGGCACCTAGGCTGATCATTAATTATGATCTTAAATTAGCCTTTGGTTGTTTTTGACACTATTCTTTTGGAGCAAAACTTTAAAAGGAACCCTGTATTCATTCAGTTAGTTATAGGTATACTAAGGCACAGATGTCAATCCAAATGGAAGTTATGAACATTGGTTGATGTAGTATTTTGGAATTTTATTTTTATTAAAAAAATTTTTTTTGAGACAGGGTCTCACTCTGTTGCTGGAGTACAGTGGTGCAATCATGGCTCACTGCAGTCTTGACCTCTTGGGTCAGGCAGTCCTCCCACCTCAGCCTCCCTAGTAGCTGGGACTACAGGTGTGTGCCACCACGCCCAGCTAATTTTTGTATTTTTTGTAGAGACAGAGTTTCACTGTAGTGCTCAGGCTGGTCTCAGACTCCTGGGCTCAAGCAAGCCACCCGCCTCAGCCTCCCAAAGTGCAAGGATTATAGGTGTGAACAACTATTCTGTATTTTTTTTGTATTGTAATAAAAATTATTCTTTGTTTGAAAGGTTATTAATAACTTTATTTTTCTTCATAGTATCACTGAGGAGGAATTTTTATATTTTTTGTAGATATGGGATCTCAGTACATTGCCCAGGTTGGTCTTAAACTCCTAGTCTCAAGTGATCCTCCCACCTCAGCCTTCCAAAATGCTGGGATTGCAGATGGGTAATCCCAGCCTATTTTGGATTTTATAGCATAGGTCATCTAAAATGCTATCATAAACTTGTGTGGTAATAGAGTATAAAAGATCACGATTGGACCTTTGGAGAGTCACTTGTCTGTACTGCTATAGCACAATACTGTAGGCTGGATAATTTATAAACAATAGAAAATTTATTTCTCTTTGTTTCGGTTCTGGAGGCTGGGAAGTCCAAGATCAAGGCACTGGTAGTTTTGGTGTCTGAGGTGGGTTACTCTCTGCTTCTAAGATAATGCCTTGTTGCTGTATCCTCACATGGCAGAAGGGACAGAAGGGTAACAGGGTGGTCTCTTCGATATGCAGCCCTTTTATAAGGATGCTAATCCCATTCATGAGGCCAGAGCACTAATGACTTAATTACCTCGCAAAGGCCCCACCTCTTAATACTGTTGCATTTGGGATTAAGTTTCAACATGAATTTCAGAGGGGATACCATCATTCAAACAGTAGCAGAGACAAACTTCTTTAGGAACAAGGAAAGTAAAGCTTAGGGGTGCTCAGTCATGACTTGCCTGTGATCAACCAACAGTTAATAGCAGAGCTAGAACTAAGCCCTAGATTCTTACCTCCAGTTCAGTCTTCTTTCTAAACTGCTGTGCCTTCTCTTATACATCTACTTTCTGTGTCTCATTAATGTTGTCATAATGTTCACTTGATCCTCCTTTCATCTCCATGAAAGGAGAAAAAAATTATTCTTAGCTTTTTATTTGCATAGTAAGAGAAGCAGATTAAATAATATGGGACTGTACCTTGTAAATAGTGAATAACTACTGTGTGATAAACTGAGCATTGGCACTCTTTAAACTTTGGTACCTGGGACCAGCACCCCTCCTATGATAGTAGAGTGTAGTGGCTTGGCCTGTGTCCTTTGGAGTCAGGCTGCCTCTGAATTGGAATTTAGGCTGTATGCCTTTGAGTGAGTACTTAACCTTTTTAGATTTCAGTTTTTTCATCTGTCAAATGGAGATACTGTAATAAGGCTGGGCTCGGTGGCTCATGTTTGTAATCCTAGCACTTTGGGAGGCCAAGGCAGGTGGATCGCCTGAGGTCAGGAGTTCAAGACCAGCCTGACCAACATGATAAAACCCTGTCTCTACTAAAAATACAAAAATCAACCAGGCATGATGGCACGTGCCTGTAATCCCAGCTACTCTGGAGGGTGAGGCAAGAGAATTGCTTGAACCCAGGAGGTGGAGGTTGCAGTGAGCCGAGATTGTGCCACTGCACTCCAGCCTGGGCAACAAGAGTGAAACTCTGTCTCCAAAAAAAAAAAAAAAAAAAAAAAAAAAAAAAAAAAAAAAAAAAAAAAAAAAAAAAAAAAAAAGAAAAATGGAGATA